ATATATTTGTTGTATTGAGTAAATGTAAATATTGATTACGCTCACACTGACAGCTAGCTTAGAAATTCAAAATGTAATACAAATTTTCAACAATCCTACCTTTCCTTTTTGATAATTGTATGGATGTTTGTATGATAATGAATGAGTGTGTGTATGTCTTTATATATGTTTGTGTTATGTCATGTTATGTATATATATTGTAACTGTATTGTATACTAATGTAAAAATTTAAAAAAAAAAAAAAAAAGTATATTATTATTCTAGCTAGATAGGGCGCTATATCAAATGTTGTATATTATTATTATTATAAACCCAGCCCTGGAAATAGAATAACTGATTATTCAACTAATCATAAACCCAGCCCTTGAAATACAAAAACTTATTATTTAATTAATCATAAAACAAGCCCTGGAAATATGGTACCTTTTTATTTAACTAATAATAAACCCTTTAAAGTAACTTTTTTTTGTATATAATATACCAGTCCTGGAAATACGGTACATTATTAATAGAAGGTTTATATATCACAACCAGTAAGTGTTTATGTGTGACGTTTTCGGTGACTAGTAAGATACGTACCCTGTCACCTTCATCAGACAAAGAAGCATATGTACACAAAGGTATAAAAGATGTACAAGTTAGCAATATATAATCAAAGTCAATTTGAATATGCTATAAGCGTATGTACCTTTATTTGTGTTTGAAGTTTGAGATGATGATGAACATTAAGACCCTGACTCATCCCCAGGGGCGGGGAGGTTTATTTAAACTGTAAAATATTTTTGTGTTTTAGCATGCCCTGCAAGCTGCAAATCGCGGAGGATATGTTTGGATAGTGATCAAGGACTGTATGCCAATGTGAAGTACTTCCAGATGGGGCAGGTTTACATCCCCAATGATGTGAAGGAGAGGCTATTGCGCTCTCTCACCCTGAAGGAAGATGCGGCGAGGGAAAAACTTCTACAGGACGCACAAGTAGAACGCAAAATTACAACATCTAAGGTGAGGAGTGTAAAAGTGTTATAAAATCATTATATACAAGGATATGATATATAAATACAATAATCACTACAGGAAGATTAATATACACTGTGACACTGTTACGACCTTATTGTGTTGATGGGCCATTAACACGTTAACAATTCTGTGTGGCATTGTACGACCTTATTGTGTTGATGGGCCATTAACAGGTTAACAGCTTCTGTGTGGCACTGTACGACCTTATTGTGTTGATGTGCCATTAACACACTAACAGCTTCTGTGTGGCACTATACGACCTTATGGTGTTGATTGGCCATTAACTATAACAGCTTCTGTGTGGCACTGTACGTCCTTATTGTGTTGATGGGCCATTAACACGTTAACAGCTTCTGTGTGGCATTGTACGACCTTATTGTGTTGATTGGCCATTAACTATAACAGCTACTGTGTGGTACTGTATGACCTTATTGTGTTGATTGGCCATTAACACACTAACAGCTTCTGTGTGGCACTGTACGACCTTATTGTGTTGATTGGCCATTAACTATAACAGCTACTGTGTGGCACTGTACGACCTTATTGTGTTGATGGGCCATTAACACACTAACAGCTACTGTCTGGCATTGTACGACCTTATTGTGTTGATGGGCCATTAACTATAACAGCTACTGTGTGGCACTGTACGACCTTATGGTGTTGATTGGCCATTAACTATAACAGCTTCTGTGTGGCACTGTACGACCTGATTGTGTTGATGGGCCATTAACTATAACAGCTACTGTGTGGCATTGTACAACCTTATTGTGTTGATGGGCCATTAACATACTAACAGCTTCTGTGTGGTACTGTACGACCTGATTGTGTTGATGGGCCATTAACTATAACAGCTACTGTGTGGCATTGTACGACCTTATGGTGTTGATGGGACATTAACTATAACAGCTACTGTGTGGCACTGTACGACCTGATTGTGTTGATGGGCCATTTACTATAACAACTTCTGTGTGGCATTGTACGACCTTATGGTGTTGATGGGCCATTAACTATAACAGCTACTGTGTGGCACTGTACGACCTGATTGTGTTGATGGGCCATTAACTATAACAGCTACTGTGTGGTACTGTATGACCTGATTGTGTTGATGGGCCATTTACTATAACAACTTCTGTGTGGCACCTATTGAAAATTCTGAGGGCATAAACCATTGCTTCTTACCATCATAGCATAAAGTTATATTAAGCAAATTCACATCAAAACAAGTGATAACAACAATGAATTACATAGATTATAAAGCAGGAAAAATGGTGCTATTAAGTGAATTGATATTAAGTGATGTGATATTAAGTGACATGATATTAAGTGACGTGATATTAAGTGACACAACTTTAAGTGAAATGTACATGTATTCAGTCCCATAAAATGTTAAAAAGAGATTATGCAGTAAATCATTAATTGGTTTACTATTTTTGATTACAAACTGCATGATTATCAGTTATGATTTTAAACCGGTTGCCCATCACTAGAAATAAAGTTTTAGTATATATTTTTTTTATTTTTCTTTTGAAAATTAATTCAGTCTTTTTTAAAATTATTGTCATGGGATGGCAGTTTTGTTGATATGAAAGTTAAGACCCTAACAAACGAGGTAGAACAGGTTGAATATTTTTTTCACAATGACCATAGGAGCTTAGAGCAAGTTGTATTTCCATAATAGCCAACATGTTATAGCCGGTATACGGGAGATTGTAGGACGTTTATATACAGGCTTTGTCTTTTTTCTAACAGTTATCAGGTATGATCAGGTGCGTAGCTGCCTGTATCATGTCTGCTGTAATGCAAGTGAATCCACCAATTCCCCCCCCCCCCCCCCCCCCCCCCCCAACAACAACAACAACAACATGCAAAACAATGCACTGCTTGTGACATACTGAATGTGTCTTCAGAAGAAGTTATGTATGTGGATATAAGATACTTATTGTAGAATGTCTCAATCACTTCGTGCAATTAACCAATTGGAAAACGATGCCGAGACAGATAAGTCTTAAAATTAGTATATTCATTTTTCTGCTGGGGGAGATGGGGGGAGGGGGACTTTCGGTCCTCCTACCAGGCCTCCCCTCTGGACCCGTTCTTTAATAAATCCACTTGAGCAAGGGCTAGCTACGATCCTGATAATGTATGTTGGAGCCCACTTATGAATTAAATGGCAGATCCACAGTTAAAAAATAAGTTATGTGCGGTAGATTATCATTTTATTGCTATTTTGCTTTTTGAAGTAACAATTCTAAGTTACGATTGTATTACACCTCAAGTGACTGTTAAAGGTCAAAGTCCTCTTACTTGTGTTTTAGATTCAGACAAGAAGAAACGAGGCTGCAGAAATCAGACAGGAAGCTGAGGCAACCTCCTCAATGATTCGTTTGACATCTCGTGCCAACTACACAGCAATTGTAGAGAGCTCAAGAAGTCGGGGTTTGACAACTCTGTATTCGCGTCTGGGAATCACCGACCAGAGGATCAAGAACAGTTTTGACTACCTGCGTACCCTCCGTGGCCTTGATAACATTCACCTCTCCGTTGATTTTGATCAGAACATCATGGGATCGTTTGGTAAAGTCTAGGCCATTTGTGTGACCACCTCTACTAATAGTCAAATGTACCAGGGCCAAGACACCACTATATTTCCATATTCCACAGTCATGGTGATCAAAAGCCCTTTCACCCACCTCGGCTCATTATACAAAGTTTTGGGGTATATAGGAATCAGCCTGTCCGCCGTCTTTCTTGTCTATGATCCTTGCAACCACAACTCCTCCCAAAACCGTTGGTTTGAAAAACAAAATTGTTACTTGATACAGTGAAAGTACACTATATATAGGTGTGCTTAAAGAAAGGAATATGCAATTCAGCAATGTTTCCTGGCGTTATGGCCCTTGAATCTTAATATTTCTGTTCCAGAATAAAGTGTGAGAGCAGTCAGGGCATATATCTTTGTCAGCTTGCTCACACGTTTGTCTAGTTATCATAAGGTCATCTTGTGGTTTAGATCAACTTTCAGTGGTACATGAAGTTTTAATTTAGGTTTAAACTTAGTGGGAAGATCATAATACCACAATTTATTGGGAGGAATAAACGCAAACAAAACAAATACTCCAAATCGGTCCAAAATGAAATATATTTTTCCATATTTTTTTTGTATTTCTTACTGAGTTAAGTTTAAAAAAAATGTGTATATTTATACTTTTTCATATTGATGATAATTACTGATATGTACAGGAAAATATTTTCAAAAAGTATCAGATATTAAGTTTTGTCTATGAAAATGAAAAAAATATATGGTATAATATTGTTTTTTTTAGTTTTTGGCTGAGTAACATTGAATTGAACAGTTAGTTTCACACAATTATTTCATCATTATACAAGCCCATGCAAAAGAAATTTGTTGACTAAAAATAAGATGTTCGATCTGTCAGAATCGTACCTGCATGGTTGAATATAAACAGAAATGCCTTGCTCAGTAAGAAATCACTGTTTTTACTATTTAGATGACTGAAATCACACATGCCTCGCTGAAGAGGAATTAAAAAAAAATATGTATATGATTTAGTTAAATTTATATCAAATTTGCAACTGATTCAGGCTGGAAAATGATCCTGTTATGTGGTGTCGCAAATTTCCTGTACAGCGAGTATTAGTCCCATTAATTAACTATTTTACTTTTATTGACGACTTGTCCCTACATTGCTTTAATAAATTGATGACTGTGTGTGTGGTAGATAACATTAAGGGGCCGGGCACATCAATAACAATTGTAGATTTGCAGAATATTTTCAAGGCATTTTTATCCAAAACAAATGTACAGGGTTTTAATTAAAAAACCACCAAAAAAACACATTTAGGAATAGTCGGTTGTCTTAGATAGCTTGATCAAGTGTTATTTTTTCAGGATTTATAATTTTCCTTTTACAACGAAATATTACAATCCTCAGAGCATAATATTAATTTACCTGGCCCTGCGAGTTTAAACAATTCTTATGAATGCTAGATTTGGGTATTGTACTGTTTGTCATTTATTTGAATGTTAGATTCATGTTTCAAGGTTTGTACCAGTTTCTGTTCTATATTTATTTGTTAAACTTGGAGAATTTGAAAGGAACTTTTAAGCTCCTTTTGATTGTAAAGGAGAATGTGTTTTTAGACAATGTGCCTTTTTATTTTTGATTCAAGTTGTTGAAAATCATATATTCTGACAATCTTAATGTATTTCTGTTTGTCGTCATTTTTCGTGCGGGAGGTTGATAGATGGTTTTATTACCTTAGTTTCTATAAAATCAGTGACTAGATACATGTTGTGGGTCTTTGACTAACATTCCCACCAGAAAATGCAAAGATTCTAATTGACCCAGTACATAGACTTACAGGAAACTGTTTCATTGACAATTATGAAAAAGACTATCAACAAACCATAATGGCAATGTTTTTTTGTAATATTTTATCTTTAAACTTAGAAAAAGTTCACAATGTGTTTGGACCAATATCAAGGTAGTTTATCAGATTGGTCAAAAATATTTTTGCTATTTTACTCCTCAGGGATATTTCTCTTTGTACTTTAACAGTCAGATGTTATTAAAGGTGACTATGGGTTTTTTTCCCCGGACAAAATCTTAATAGAATGGCTTAAAATTATTCTCTTTTATTTTTCAATTTGAAAGTCAATGTGATTCAGTATGATTAGACAATGTGTAAATGTTAGTTTATAATTTCCTGGATAGATTCAGTATGATTAGACAATGTGTAAATGTTAGTTTATAACTTCCTAGATAGTTTTAATATGATTAGACAGCGTGTAAATGTTAGTTTATAATTTCCTGAATAGATTCAGCATGATAAGACAATGTGTAATTGTAGTCTGCATGTTCAGGATTTACATAAATCATGTACATCATGTCTGTTTTGTGGCAAATTTGGGAGGCTGTGCCCCCATCATCAGACCTCAAAAAGACGAAGGGAGGGGATGCAAATTAATTAATTTACCAAGTTTTTATGATTTCCCTTCTAGAAATGCTAGCTTGCACCATAGGGGTACATTTTAGTTTTTGTTAACTTGTGTGTTATTGAATATCTGTTGTGAATTTTTTAGAAACTTTTTTTCCTCATCTTTTTATACCTTTACCTTTTATATATTATACATTATTGCATATATCCATGAACACTTAACTGTTGCCAAGTAAATTGTAATACTTGGCCTGGTCACAAACCTGGGGCAGGTCATCCTCAATACTCCAGGGGTTATGCTCACTTACTCTCTCTGTATAGCTTGAATATGTCATGACAAAAACAAAGGCTCAGTTTGTACCACCGAGCGGATGTGATGAGAATCCTTGTTTGATCCTTTGATGTACATCAAAAGAATCTGTGGGTTGTGTAACGGTAAAATTGACTGGTTTTGAAGTCAGGTGTCACTCCTCTGTAATCTTCATAGGACAGGTATCAGCCTAGCGATTGGTCAAGTTTTTTTAACCCGAGACCAACCAAATATTTTACAACAATTATGAAACAAGATTTTACAACTTATACTTATCACTCTTGTTGGCCCGAATGTTATCGAGGGGGGAGGGTGTTACTGTGGGAGGAAACTGGAGAACCCAGAGAAAACCCACGCGGGAATCGAACCCGGGCCGCCTTGAGGAAAGGCAAGTGCGCTATCCACTGTGCCACCAGACAACAATCACATAGTTAAACAGTATGTGCCTTCAATTTTGCTATGACATGACGTAAGTGAGCCTAACTCTTGGAGTATTGAGGATGGGGGCATGTGTACAAGGTAAGGTCTCTGGAACATTAGCAGACCCCTTCAGTTGCAAGGCCTCAGTGTACAGCGCTCTTGATAAAACAGGAAAGGAAATTTCAGACTGTTCCATTGAAAAAGCTTCCAGGTCAAGTTGTTTTGTGCACATTAATAATTACCTGTACATTCAGTTAACTGAATTTATTTAGTTTCCTAAATGAAATATTTATATTGTGAGGTATGTATTGTCCAAGGACCTATTTCTGTGCCCCGACATTTTGTGCATACAGCAACTTTTTTGACATTTTCATGGGTGAACGAAAACATTTAGTTTATGTGTGCGGGGCTGTTTAATGGGTAGTGAATGTAAACATTTAGTTTGTGTGCAGGGCTGTTTAATGGGTAGTGAAAGTAAACATTTAGTTTATGTGTGCGGGGCTGTTTAATGGGTGGTGAACGTAAACATTTAGTTTGTGTGCAGGGCTGTTTAATGGGTAGTGAATGTAAACATTTAGTTTGTGTGCAGGGCTGTTTAATGGGTAGTGAAAGTAAACATTTAGTTTATGTGTGCGGGGCTGTTTAATGGGTGGTGAACGTAAACATTTAGTTTGTGTGCAGGGCTGTTTAATGGGTAGTGAATGTAAACATTTAGTTTGTGTGCAGGGCTGTTTAATGGGTAGTGAAAGTAAACATTTAGTTTATGTGTGCGGGGCTGTTTAATGGGTGGTGAACGTAAACATTTAGTTTGTGTGCAGGGCTGTTTAATGGGTAGTGAATGTAAACATTTAGTTTATGTGTGCGGGGCTGTTTAATGGGTAGTGAATGTAAACATTTAGTTTATGTGTGCGGGGCTGTTTAATGGGTAGTGAATGTAAACATTTAGTTTATGTGTGCGGGGCTGTTTAATGGGTAGTGAATGTAAACATTTAGTTTATGTGTGCGGGGCTGTTTAATGGGTAGTGAATGTAAACATTTAGTTTATGTGTGCGGGGCTGTTTAATGGGTAGTGAATGTAAACATTTAGTTTATGTGTGCGGGGCTGTTTAATGGGTAGTGAATGTAAACATTTAGTTTATGTGTGCGGGGCTGTTTAATGGGTAGTGAATGTAAACATTTAGTTTATGTGTGCGGGGCTGTTTAATGGGTAGTGAATGTAAACATTTAGTTTATGTGTGCGGGGCTGTTTAATGGGTAGTGAATGTAAACATTTAGTTTATGTGTGCGGGGCTGTTTAATGGGTAGTGAATGTAAACATTTAGTTTATGTGTGCGGGGCTGTTTAATGGGTAGTGAATGTAAACATTTAGTTTATGTGTGCGGGGCTGTTTAATGGGTAGTGAATGTAAACATTTAGTTTATGTGTGCGGGGCTGTTTAATGGGTAGTGAATGTAAACATTTAGTTTATGTGTGCGGGGCTGTTTAATGGGTAGTGAATGTAAACATTTAGTTTATGTGTGCGGGGCTGTTTAATGGGTAGTGAATGTAAACATTTAGTTTATGTGTGCGGGGCTGTTTAATGGGTAGTGAATGTAAACATTTAGTTTATGTGTGCGGGGCTGTTTAATGGGTAGTGAATGTAAACATTTAGTTTATGTGTGCGGGGCTGTTTAATGGGTAGTGAATGTAAACATTTAGTTTATGTGTGCGGGGCTGTTTAATGGGTAGTGAATGTAAACATTTAGTTTATGTGTGCGGGGCTGTTTAATGGGTAGTGAATGTAAACATTCAGTTTATGTGTGCGGGGCTGTTTAATGGGTAGTGAATGTAAACATTTAGTTTATGTGTGCGGGGCTGTTTAATGGGTAGTGAATGTAAACATTTAGTTTATGTGTGCGGGGCTGTTTAATGGGTAGTGAATGTAAACATTTAGTTTATGTGTGCGGGGCTGTTTAATGGGTAGTGAATGTAAACATTTAGTTTATGTGTGCGGGGCTGTTTAATGGGTAGTGAATGTAAACATTTAGTTTATGTGTGCGGGGCTGTTTAATGGGTAGTGAATGTAAACATTTAGTTTATGTGTGCGGGGCTGTTTAATGGGTAGTGAATGTAAACATTTAGTTTATGTGTGCGGGGCTGTTTAATGGGTAGTGAATGTAAACATTTAGTTTATGTGTGCGGGGCTGTTTAATGGGTAGTGAATGTAAACATTTAGTTTATGTGTGCGGGGCTGTTTAATGGGTAGTGAATGTAAACATTCAGTTTATGTGTGCGGGGCTGTTTAATGGGTAGTGAATGTAAACATTTAGTTTATGTGTGCGGGGCTGTTTAATGGGTAGTGAATGTAAACATTTAGTTTATGTGTGCGGGGCTGTTTAATGGGTAGTGAATGTAAACATTTAGTTTATGTGTGCGGGGCTGTTTAATGGGTAGTGAATGTAAACATTTAGTTTATGTGTGCGGGGCTGTTTAATGGGTAGTGAATGTAAACATTTAGTTTATGTGTGCGGGGCTGTTTAATGGGTAGTGAATGTAAACATTTAGTTTATGTGTGCGGGGCTGTTTAATGGGTAGTGAATGTAAACATTTAGTTTATGTGTGCGGGGCTGTTTAATGGGTAGTGAATGTAAACATTTAGTTTATGTGTGCGGGGCTGTTTAATGGGTAGTGAATGTAAACATTTAGTTTATGTGTGCGGGGCTGTTTAATGGGTAGTGAATGTAAACATTTAGTTTATGTGTGCGGGGCTGTTTAATGGGTAGTGAATGTAAACATTCAGTTTATGTGTGCGGGGCTGTTTAATGGGTAGTGAATGTAAACATTTAGTTTATGTGTGCGGGGCTGTTTAATGGGTAGTGAATGTAAACATTTAGTTTATGTGTGCGGGGCTGTTTAATGGGTAGTGAATGTAAACATTTAGTTTATGTGTGCGGGGCTGTTTAATGGGTAGTGAATGTAAACATTTAGTTTATGTGTGCGGGGCTGTTTAATGGGTAGTGAATGTAAACATTTAGTTTATGTGTGCGGGGCTGTTTAATGGGTAGTGAATGTAAACATTTAGTTTATGTGTGCGGGGCTGTTTAATGGGTAGTGAATGTAAACATTTAGTTTATGTGTGCGGGGCTGTTTAATGGGTAGTGAATGTAAACATTTAGTTTATGTGTGCGGGGCTGTTTAATGGGTAGTGAATGTAAACATTTAGTTTATGTGTGCGGGGCTGTTTAATGGGTAGTGAATGTAAACATTTAGTTTATGTGTGCGGGGCTGTTTAATGGGTAGTGAATGTAAACATTTAGTTTATGTGTGCGGGGCTGTTTAATGGGTAGTGAATGTAAACATTTAGTTTATGTGTGCGGGGCTGTTTAATGGGTAGTGAATGTAAACATTTAGTTTATGTGTGCGGGGCTGTTTAATGGGTAGTGAATGTAAACATTTAGTTTATGTGTGCGAGGCTGTTTAATGGGTGGTGAACGTAAACATTTAGTTTATGTGTGCAGGGCTGTTTAATGGGTATTGAACGTAAACATTTAGTTTATGTGTGCAGGGCTGTTTAATGGGTGGTGAACGTAAACATTTAGTTTATGTGTGCGAGGCTGTTTAATGGGTGGGGAACGTAAACATTTAGTTTATGTGTCTGTTTAATGGGTAGTGAATGTAAACATTTAGTTTATGTGTTCGAGGCTGTTTAATGTGTATTGAAAGTAAACATTTAGTTTATGTGTGCGAGGCTGTTTAATGGGTGGGGAACGTAAACATTTAGTTTATGTGTCTGTTTAATGGGTAGTGAATGTAAACATTTAGTTTATGTGTGCGAGGCTGTTTAATGGGAAGTGAATGTAAACATTTAGTTTATGTGTGTGAGGCTGTTTAATGGGTATTGAAAGTAAACATTTAGTTTATGTGTGCGGGGCTGTTTAATGAAATGAAGCAAAAGCGATTAAATTGACATTATTTTACTCAAAAACATGCGGATAGAAAGGTAGCTTTTTTACAGTTTTTTTCTGCTTTAAATTTACAGAAGCCTGCTCCTACATGACTTGGGAAAATATAGCAATAGTTTTATTGAAATCAAGGAGAAATTACTGATGTTTTCTTCATTTTGGGGAAATAAAGCACTTTTTACTGGTGTTTTTGTCGGTAATCAAGGCCAAAAAATAATCACTGTCATGCAAAACCTTCTAATGGGATTAAATCATGTAGCAGATACAAACAGCAAAATGATTTTATAAATATTTTCTCCAGATACACTTCCATCATTTTTAATTGTATGTGTGCTATGAATTAACGGGCACAGAAATTGGTCACGTAATGGTTGTTGTTCACTGTCGACAAGAAGATTGAATAAGTTGTCACTATAAAGGAAGTGATCAAAAACTCAGTATAATGCTTCAAAATTATCATCTTCTCATTTTATCTTTTTGTTGACAGTTCTGTCACCAACGAAAGTAATTTCTATTTTCTAGAAAATTTTATTGAAAAATCTTCACTTAAAGACATATTGAGAATACCTTCAGGTAAAACTTGTGTTAATAAAATCAATACTAATGATATATTAGTGACTTTTTTCTTGTTTTTTATATATATATATATAAGAAACTGAATTGTTTGGGATATATCCAATCATGTTATAACAGAAAATTCAATTGAAGGCCATCATTGTTGTATATGGTGTTCATTGAATTAAAAAGTGCAATATTGCCAATAGAATGCAAGC